GGCCTACCTCCTCCCATGCCTTTACATTTACCTTTCCTTCCTCAGAAAAGCATGGACACACTTCTTGTATAAAACGTTCTGTCTTACTGGGAGTAACCTTAATTCCTCTGCTAGCAAGCATATGTGTTAAAAGATCAATACAGAGTCTTATTTCTTTAGACTCAGTATGGCACATCTTCTTAATCTAAAGATCAATACAGAGTCTTCTTTCTTTGGACTCAGTATGGCGCATCTTCTCAATCTAAGAATCAATGCAGAGTCTTCTTTCTTTGGACTCAGTATAGCACATCTTCTCAATCTAAGTTCTGTACTATCCACCTTCTTACCCTACTTATCCTCTATAGGGGGGTCTGCAGTACCCTGGTGGAGTCCTATCCATCCCGAGTGTGGGGTTCTCAATGGGGGGGGGCTTACCTAGGGGAATCCTGTTCCAGGGGTTCCCAAAGGTGTGGACGGAGTCGGCGAAGAATATCCACCTTCTTCCTACGGTGGAGTCCTATCCATCCCGAGAGTGGGGCTTACCTAGGAGTCCCTGTTTGGGCGCCAGATGCTGGGGTCCAACCCCAGCAGGTCTAGGGGCCCCCAAAGGTGTGGACGGAGTCGGCGAAGAAGGAATGACACGGAGACAGCTTTCAGTTGATCTAGGTTCTGTCTTCTAAGTTCTGTCTCCTGTTGTCTTGTTACATCTGTATTTATACCAGTTGATTCCAATCCTATCAATCTCTATTCCAAAGGTTAGGGTGTTTCTTATCTCCATTCCAGGGAGTAAAGATTATGTAGCTTAAGCATGATTGTTCTTAGTTAAAGTAATTAATTACCCGCCTGGCACTTAGTTAAGGGGTTTTATTCCCTCCCCAACTTCAGGGGAAAATCCCTACCTGGGGAAACAACCTTTCTCAGAGAGGTGACCTTGGTTAAAACACATAGTGCCAAGAAGGTGAGCAAACATATTAAGAACAGTATGCCATATATGCCAGGTCCCTTGAAACAGCAAGGATGGACCGGCTCCCGGCACAAACTCTGTCTTCTCCACCCCAGATGGAGCCAGGACTAGGGAAGAAGAGAGTCCATCATGACCACAAAGGAATCAGGGGACAACTCCCCATCCACAGGGTCCCTGGTGGTCTCCATAAAACATCTCACCAGCCTTGACCGGTTTGGCTCAGTGGATAGAGCGTCAGCCTGCGGACTGAAGGGTCCCAGGTTCAGTTCTGGTCAAGGGCATGTATTGGTTGCGGGCACATCCCCAGTGGGGGGCATGCAGGAGGCAGCTGATCGATGTTTCTCTCTCATCGATGTTTCTAACTCTCTATCCCTCTCCTTTCCTCTTTGTGAGAAAATCAATAAAATATATATTTTTTAAAAAATCTCACCAGCCAGCTCATAATGTCCTGGGGAACAAGGGGAACTTCCCATGTAGGATGGGACAGGAGAACCCAGGATCTGTGGTTACTTCCATCTCAGAGGAGTTGAGGGTCCCATAGGGCCTCCCCATCCCATGTCTAAACCTCTATGTGAAGCTTCTCCAGCTCTTGGTCCTGTAGAAAGGACTAGAGCAGATGACAGACAGGGACACAGATGAGTTGAATGCAATGCCAAAGGGCAATCTATGGACCAGCCCCACAGGCTGATGCCCTCTCTAGAAACATTCAAGAGAACACTCACTTGGCCCTTCATTTAAAACCTTGGACAAAGAGCTCCTCTAAGACAACACATCCCCCTGGTGGGAGAGAGACAGTTCACCTGACACTGAATCAGGATTCCTCTGGACATTGCCTGTCCTCTCACTCAGCTCACACTACCCTGGGATGAAGTCGGGCAGCCTGAGACCCATAGTGACCAAGACCTAGGGTGAATAGCCCCTCAGCCTTCAGGTCAGAGCCCATCTCTGCCCAGGGTTCAGGTCAGCTCCCACCCTCTGGAGCCAGGTCAGTTTTCACCTCCAGGTGGCAACATTGAGACACATATGAAATTAACACATAATATGGCTTTGGCTCAGAAATGGGGAAAAGGCCTGATTTCCATACCACAGACCCTTCTGGGTCCCTCCCACATGTCTACTCTGTCCCACCTGCTCCTTCTAGGGGCCTAGGAGCACCTGCTCTGCCAGCGGTCCCTGTGCTGCTCCCCACTCCCTGTCTGGCACCACCCATGGGCAAGGTGGGGTTAACACAGGAAACTCCCTTAGGCAGAAGGCAAAGGCTGCCCCAATGGTCAGGGAGCACATGGACAGTCTCAGCCAACAGACACACAGAAAGAAGGGTCTCCCTGAAATTGTCCCCTATGGACCAGGGAACCCCAGCCACCTGACCTCCCACCAACATCTTTATTCCCAGGACATCCTGGAACTGTAGGTCCTTCTGGGACACCCAGTCCTGTGTCTCCATCCCTGGAAGTAGAGGACAAGCTGGTGACATCTGGAGAGAAGGTAGGTCACCTCTTCAGTCATCACCCAGCTTGCCTCCTACCCACCCCCAGAATCTTCTCTGAGGCCTTCCTGCTTGGAGGAAATCCAACCTTCCCAGCACATTTGAGAACACAGGGAAGACCCAGTGCCCAGCTGGGTTGAGTGTCACAAATGTAAATAATCCCCAGGTTTGGGGCCTGTGGGGCTCTCTGTGTGGTACTGACAAACCCAAGACCAGGACACAGCAGAGACCAATGCTGGGGTTAGAGGGTTGTCTTCCCAAGGAAAAGGGTCTCCATCAGCCTTGCTCTCGAAAGTGTGCTTCAATGCTCTTGTAATTTTTTAAATATATTTTTATTGATTTCAGAGAGGAAGGGAGGAGAAACATCAATGATGAGAGAGAATCATTGATTGGCTGACTCCTATACAACCCCTCTGGGGGTCAAGCCTGCAACCCAGACATGTGCCCTGATTGGGAATCAAACTGTGACCTCTTGGTTCATAGTTGGATGCTCAACCACTGAGAACACCAGCCAAGCTCTTGTATTCTTTAACAAATAATTGAGATATTTATCAGAAATGTCAAATGTAACATTCTGTTGTATTTATTAATGAACATTGGAGCCCTGGCCATTGTTGCTAAGTGGTTAGAGCATTAGCATGTGCACCAAAAGGTCGAGGATTCGATTCCCAGTCAAGGGCACCTACCTGGGTTGCAGGTTCGATCTGTTGACGTAAAAAAATTTTTAAAAAAAATAAAAATTCAAACCTGTAAATAATTCTTGTGAGTTTAAGTTTATTTGAGCCAAACTGTCGACAATTGTTTGGAAGAAAAACCTCAACGTATTGGGATAATGCTCTGGAGAATGGCGGGTTTTCATCTTGTTTTTATAAACTAAGGAGGAGACATAAGTGGGTTACATGAAATCCATTGGTGATAGATTAGGGAGGTGGGAGAAAGCAAAGCAGGGAACCCTCTGGGATTGGATAAAAAGTGAAATGATGAACACATGCTTATTTTACATAGGTGGATACAGGATAGTTAACAGTCAACAATTAACATGATAACAAGAACACTGAGGGAATTTGTGGTCCCCACCCTGATGTCATTCGTAGCGCCCTGAGGGGTCCTGAAAAAGGGAAGTTACAAGTTACCCAGACATCTCACAGGTATGTCATCTTAAATGCAGAAAGACAATAGGCTTGAAAGTTAGTCTTTGTCAGGGAAAATACTGGCCTAGGAAATGAGTACCTACTATAAGTCGCTTTTAGTTAAATTTTTAATTTCAGACCATCCTTTGTGGTTACTTTAGGTCTTTGAGTTTACAAAACCACCATGCAGGCCTTCTCTGAGCTTGTCAGGTTAGTATGAGGCTTGCCACCCGCACCCCCACTCTCCTCCATAGATCCACAGGTAGGGTGTGTATAGAAGGCAGCTAAACCAATCTAATGTTTCTCTCTCACATCAATGTTTCTCTCTATTTTTATCTCTATCTCTATCTCCCCCTCTCCCTTCCTGCCTTCTATTCTCTCTCAAAAAAAATCAATGTAAAAAAATATACTTGGGTGAGGATTAATAAATAATAATAATAAACACTGGATTTCCATTTCTGTGTTTTGTTCACTGCTGTATGACCAGCTTCTTAAAAGGGCTTGGATGAGCAGTATAAGCTCAATATTTGGTAAGTGAGGAAAAGAAAGAGAGAGAGAGAGAGAGAGAGAGAGAGAGAGAGAGAGAGAGAGAGAGAGAGAGAAAGGAAGGGAGGGAGGGAGGGAGGGAGGGAAGGAGGGAGGGAGGGAGGGAGGAAGGAAGGAAGGAAGGAAGGAAGGAAGGAAGGAAGGAAGGAAGGAAGGAAGGAAGGAAGAGAGAGGAAGAAAGAAAGAAAGAAAGAAAGAAAGAAAGAAAGAAAGAAAGAAGAAAGAAAGAAAGAAAGAAAGAAAGAAGAAAGAAAGGGTGTCTCACAGTCCAGTAAGATCAACGCCCCCTGAGGGCTTGCCAGAGGAAGAGTCTCTGGACCACCGCACACCTGCCCAGTCAGAATCTGCATTTCTAACGGGGTCAGACCCTCCCTGAGCACAGGAGTGGGGAGGGACTGCCCCACGCCCACATCATGGGTTTCATTCCGGCAGGGCGTCCACATTAGGTGGGCAGCCGATAAGCAACATTTCTACAGTGTCCTGTAGGCATCACCGTCTTTACCAAGTTCCACAGCTGATCCCATGCACAATGGGGTGACATCCCTGGGACAAGAGTTCCTCATGTCACCCCAGGACTCCTGCTCTGAAACATAAACCAGAAGGATCACCAGAGGACCCAGGGGGCTCTACTGTACACCCAACGTGGAGCTGTGGGGAATGCCCGGGACCCTGGTGTCCTAGGCTTGTGCTTGTCCAAACAGGTCATGCATGCGAGAGGGTGTGTGGGAGGTCGGGGGGTGAGGTGGGTGGGGGTGGAGGAGAGTCACTGTGGAAACTAAAAGGCGCCTCAGCAGTTCCTAGGGTCTGAAATATAGCCGGAAGGTAAACGGGAAGCAGGGAAGGGAGGAATGAGGGGAGGGAAAGGAAGGGTTCCGGGTACAGACCCCGCCCCTGGCCCACGTGACAGGGGAAGCACTCCTAACCCCGAGGAGACTCAGCACAACTGGAAAAGGACAACTGATCACCCGCTTCAGGAGAGCAGTGCCTGTGAGCGTTTGGAAGTGAAAGCTTTTCTCGCAGAGGACGGGACAGAACAGACAGCAGACACCATGGAGTCCCCTTCAGCCCCTGCGCACAGAGGGTGCGTCTCCTGGCAGGGGCTCCTGCTGACCGGTAAGGAGGGGACAATCCCTGAGGGTGGACAGGAGGAGGGGAGACAGAGACTGGCTGTGGTCTCCTGGGGAGCACAGCGCTCTGAGAGGGGACAGAGGGCTTCTGTTTGGACCTGAGGGAGGACAGGGGAGCAGAGTAGGGTGGGGGAGGGGGCTCAGCTGCAGGACAATCCCATGATATGGATGTGGTGAGGGGCAGGAAAACCTAGATTATGGTTAAGCTTTACAAGTTATTCATCACTGAGAAATAATTTCTGAAAACTGATAATAATAATAATTTGTGTCAGAGTGACACAAGAAAAACTTGACTAGGGACACTAAGCATTGTCTTTACCACCAACCTCAGAAATGGGCACATGCACCCCAGGGGGTGCAGGACTCTAGGAACACTTATTCATTCACCTGTTGGTGTTTGCAGCCTGTTGCAGGCACAGGGGGTGCAACAAGATCAGACAAGCCTCTTCCCCATGGAGCTCATGTTCTATGGGAAGGAGACAGACAAGGAAACATCTACATGTGATGTCAGGTACCTACAGGTGCCATGAAGGAAACAGCAGGGACAGGTCAGAAAGTGAAAACAGCGTCTTTAAAGGGTCAGTGAAGGTTACTCCCAGGGATGCCCCTGAGTGTCAGCAAAGGTCTGAGGACAGTGGGGAGGAGAGCTGGGCAGATGGGCAGACAACTGGGAAAGTTCTCAAAACAGAAAAAATAACAGGTTCAGAGGTGCTGAAGTATTGGTGGCTATGCTGCTGCACTTGACCACAGGACACACACACACATACTCAGACCAAGGTTGAGCGATGAAGAGACCTGCTCAGGACCCAGGGCCTCATCTCTCCTTCCCAATACATAGCTCCAAATCTTAATCAATTTCTCTCTTCCCTCCTAGCGTCACTCTTAACCCTCTGGAGCCTGCCCACCACTGCCCAGCTCACTATTGAATCAGTGCCGCCCAATGCTGCCGAAGGGGAGGATGTGCTTCTCCGCGTCCACAATCTGCCTGGAAATCTATTGCTCTATAGCTGGTACAAAGGGGAAAGTATAAACAGCAACCTTCAAATTGTATCATATGTACCGGACACTCAAGCAGCTAACTTCGGGCCTGCAAGCAACAATCGAGAGACAGTATACCCCAATGGATCCCTGCTGTTCCACAATGTCACTCTGCAGGACACAGGAAACTACACCCTACATGCCACAGACAAAAGTGCTAAAAGCATACAAGTAACTGGACAGCTCCATGTATACCGTGAGTGATTGCTCTCTGATCTCTGGGTGTCAGGTGGGGTATATTCTACTTCACACACAGGACTGACAGCCCTGCACTCACTCTGCCTCCATCCCCCTCTACCTCACATTCCAGGTTGGGTTTGGGCATTTAGTGCAGGACACACACAGTGGAGACAAACTTCCTAAAATCAGGGTTCCCTTCCCGGATTCCAGCCCTGCAGACATTCTCCACAGAGAGAAGGGCCACTCTGATGGTAGTGACTCAGCAAAAGGAGACCAGTCTTAGTCCAAGCCCCTGGGCCCCTCCCATGACCATGACCCTGAGAAAGACCCTGCAGGGCTGGTCAGGGCATGGACTGATGGCCGCCCCCCCACCCCCCAGGTTCCTCACAGAGCTCAGGAAAAGGGGCAGCCCCTCCCCAGACATCAGTCCCAGGGTTCCTGACCCCAGGGTCCCTGAGGAGCCTGTGTCAGGTTGGGTTTGGTCTGTGGCAGGGTTGACTGGGAGCAACAGTTTCCCGGGTACCTAAGTCACAAGGCTCCTGAGCTAGTTACCAGCCAGGGCTCAGCCTCAAGAGCCACATCTGGGCAGGATGGAGCCGGCTTCTTCTCCTGAGACTATGTGTGGAGAGCACATGTGGACAAGGCCCCCAGGCCATTAGCCAATTGCCCTGGGGTGCATAGCAGAATCCAGAGGAAGGTCAGCATCCCCAGAGAGGAAGAGAAGGTGCTCCAGGCAGCTCCTTGTCTACCAGAGATCTGGCCAGGGAGTCCTCTCTCATGGACAAATAACAGGTGCTGTTAACTTGGGAAGCTCCTCTTTTCCAAGCTTTAAGTCAGTAAATTGCAAAAGATTTAAGGTTCATTCAAAGGCAACATGGAAAACCTAAGACCATTTACCATTTATTCTGCTTTATTCAGGAGAAACTGAGTTATAGGGGGATACAGTCACTCAATCAGAGTCACGCAGACCATGACTGGCCAATCAGAATCATGCCAAGGTCTTTCTGCAGTAACAGCCCATCCTCACCTCCACTCCAACGGCCTTATTATGCATTTGTAGATCCTGAAACCAGCTATTGCTTCAGATCCTTTCTTCTTAAGTGTCTCCAACACAGAGGAAGAGATTCTGGTCTGGGGAGTGATAGCAAATGGAGAATTGATCTGCGTTTAGAATGAAATTACCTGCAGTAACATTCAGAGTCAGTGCTGGGAGCACCTAGGCCTTCCCCTCAGGTGGCCAATCCACACCTCCCTGCACTGGACTTGAAACCACTTGTTTCCTGATGTGTTAGTATCACTCCCACTAGGTATAAAGGAAAGGACTTTGCCTTCTCACTCCCCACTCTACACCTGTAACCAGCTCAGGGACCAACATGTAACAAATACCCAGTTGCTTGTGATGAAGGAGGAAAGAATTGTGGTCAGGAATGAATGGCAATCTCTACAGAGACTGGAACCTGGATGCAGAGTTCCAGACCCATGTTCCTTCCCTCTGACCACCTGTCCCTGAAGACCTCCCTCCCCGCTTGCCCCCAGGAGCCAAGCCTCATGGTGACTGTGGGGCTGTTCCAATGTGGGAGGTTGTTCCAGCCTGCTCTGGTCCTGCCTTGGGACAGCAGTGGGATCTTGGTCTCTGGGGTCTTTGAAATCATCTGTAACCCCACTGCTCACTACCAAGCACATTTCTGGGACTTTCTGCTCATTCCATGTCCTTCATCTGCCTCTTCCTTCACTCCAGCCGCACTACCTTACTCTGCTCTGCCTCCCCCACTGTGGAGTCTCCCCAGATTGTCCTGCTAACACTTGTGTCCAGGCCCACCCTCACGGTCAATAGGAAAGGACACAGAAATCAGTGGGAGCAGCCGCCCAGGCTCCATCATGAGCCAGTTTCCCAGGTCACCAGGAGAAAGAGCTTCTGCTGGGCCCCCATCCAGGGCTCCTTCCCCCCTGAGGCCAACAGGAGGAACAGGCCACGTGACAAGGGCATGTAAACCATTGACCTACTCTCTAGATGACTCAACCAGGGAGTCAAGGAAGAAGGACAGGTCTCAGTCCCCAAAGCTCAGGGGCTCACTTCACCCCTGACTCATGACTCACACCCTTGTCCTGGTGTGAGGCTCCCATTCCTCCCAGTGGCTCCTGAGACCTTCCCAAGGTGGGCCTGGTGACCCTGCACCATCTGACTGGTTCACTGCCTGTTTCACACACGTGTGTCCTTCTGAAGGCACCTTGACCACAGGGTGGGATCGTCTCAGATGGTGAGATCCACCAGCCACTCTCCTTTCTCTCAGACGCTGCCCAATTTGAATGAATTTGACTAAACTCCAGTTGTTTCCTGAGTTAGAAGGAAAAGGAAGAGCACATGCCACAGGCCCGTGTGGGGGCTCCTCCCCATCTGCCTGACTGTCCATAGAAACAGGGAGGGACCTTCTCCCTAACTTTACTAACATGGCACATATCCTTTCTCCCAATTTGGTGTCATCCCTCCCTGTATACAACAGACACACCTGGACTGGGCCCCAGGTCACTTCTGTTCTCTTCTCAGGACTCACCTTCTCTCTATCCAGGGAGTCCCTGATTCCAAACCCACTGTGGCATCTCCCTTTGGCCACAGTGTGACCTGGTTGGATGGCAGAACTTGGTCTATGACCTTTGTGCTCTCTAGACAGAAATTCCTGCAAAAACTAGCATTAGAACTTTGGGGCATGAATAATGATTTTCACATATTCCTTCACAGCTTAACTCAAAATCTATCCCATAACTGCCAAACACAAATGGTCCATGAGGGCCATATTTTTAGCAAGTTCATGCTCCCCCATCTCCACAAGCCCCCCTTCTGCACGTGTTATTGTTTGCGTTTTGAGGAAGGATCCCTGCCCTCTGCAGTGGCAGAAAGGACATTAAAGTCCAAGGGCAGAGAGCCCGGCTCCGCTGCCACTGCCAGCCAGCTCCTGCCGTCCCTCACTCTTTTCTAAATCATTCCTGGACTCTGCTCTGCCCTTTCTGGGGTCACTGTCTCATGTCAGACACCAATGAACACCTGGGTAGACGGCCACACCTCGTGGTCCTGCAGCCTGGGTACTAAACTCACCACCAGACTTTCTGGTCTCCCGTGTATTGTTTCTGCTCAGACACCCAGTTCCAGGCCACACTGCCCAGTCATCTCGGGGTTTAAGGACCATGGGGTGGCCCATCATTACTCATCTCTGTGTTAACCCTGGACTGTGAGGCTTCAGTGGAAACATATCTAGACCCAGCAATGTAGGTCTGTGTAGCTGGAAGGGACTCAGCTCCTGCACGTTCCAGGTGAGACGCCAACATCAGGCAGGCAGTCAGCTGGTCAGTGAGGAACCAGGGCAGGTGCCGGTGGTCTCTGACTCCCAGTCCTGTGTCTCTCTGTGATGAAACCCTGATAGTTGTCTGACACCTGAGAAAGTCCATGCTTTTTCTCCCAGACATAGAACAGGTGGCCTTACATTCTCTGAGTGCTCAGATCCTCATGCATTTGTTTGTCTTATGATGCACAGACCTGCATTATTCTTTCAAGGACTCAAGTTAGTTGAGAGGTAAGAGGTACCAACTCTGATTGAAGATGCCTTTGGAGATATTAAAGGTACAAAACACAGCAATGTTCTCTCTGTTATCTGCACAGTGGAGTTACCCAAACCCAACATCACAAGCAACAACTCCCTCCCCGTGGAGCACAAGGACCCTGTTGTGTTAACGTGTGAACCTCAGACTCAGGACACCACCTACCTGTGGTTGATCAACAGTCAGAGTCTCCCAGTCAGTGACAGGCTGCAGCTGTCCAAGGACAACAGGACTCTCACTTTACTCCGTGTCACAAGGAATGACACAGGACCCTATGAGTGTGAAACTTGGAACCCCGTGAGCACTGGCCGCAGTGACCCATTCACCCTGAATGTTGTCTGTGAGTAACTTCTGTCCCTGCCTGATCCAGGCTGCCACCCAAATCCACACTGCCAGAGGCCAGGCTACATCCATCCCTCTCCGTTCCACGTACACAGACCCGCACTCTGAACACCGGGGTGGCCATAACTTCCTGTACAGGCAAGTCTGGTTAGGTCTTGGGACTGGGACAAACAGATTAATGTCTCAGACTCAGCTGAGTGAATACAGGGGGCTATGGGTGGGGCTTTTTAAAACAAAGCTGTGACTCAGCTCAGAGGGAGAGTGTGGCCCTTACACAGACCAGGAGCCTCCCCTTCCCTCTGATTACATCATGTATGACTGTGTTCTCTTTGCTCCAGATGGCCCGGACGCCCCCACCATTTCCCCCTCAGACTCCCATTACCTACGTGGGACAAACCTCAACCTCTCCTGCCAGGCAGCCTCTAACCCACCTGCACAGTATTCTTGGCTTATCAATGGGAGTTCCCAGCACCTCACACAGGAGCTCTTTATCCCCAACATCACTTCGAATTATAGTGGATCCTATGCCTGCCTTGCCCATAACTCTGTCTCTGGCCTCAATAAGACCATAATCAAGACTATCACAGTCTCTGGTAAGTGCCTCCTGGACCATGAGCACCAAGCTCGGGGGTGCAGGTCTGTCTGGTTTTCAGAACAGAGCCTGGCGGTGTTGTCTCCCATCCTGTGGCCATGGACACAAGCAAATCACAGTCTTCCCCTGAGCCCTTCCCCTACATCTTTGTAGACTCTCCTCCCTTGCTATTCTGATCTCTCATGGCAGAGCCAGGGTCCAGCCTAGGAAAGTGAGGAGGGGGTTCTCTCAGCCCCAGAAAGAGTCAAGTGGTGGAGGGAGGGAGCTTTCCAGCTGGGAAAACAAGGGTCCTCAAGGTCAAGCTGCTTCTTCTGTCACTAACACTTCCCTTCTGTCACCTCCTGTCTGTTACCTGCTCCATGTGCTACAAGGAACAAACAAGGCTTGGAACAAGCTCATCTCTTTTCCCCAAACTAAAGGAGGAAACCACCTTTGAGAAGGGGTGAGCAGGACAGACCCCTGCTCCCTGCGCTGCTCCAGGCTCACCTGGTGGCTGACTCTGCTCTATGCCATCTGGTGGGACAGGGGTTCGTGGTGAAGGTGCATGGGTGCCCTGTCATCAATTTGTCACCAGCTGACACCAGAGCTTCCTTCAGAACAGGCTGCATGGAAATTGGGAGAGAGTGAGCCACAGGGGAGACTCCTCTGAGCTGTGTCCTGGCTCTGAAGTCACCAGCTGTACAGCACTGTGTGACACGAGCGTATGTGACATTGCTGAGGAGAGCAGTGAGCGGTGGTGCTTACTTGACAAGTAGGTAGATTCATCCACGAAATCCCTTCATGGGACAGAAGGTGCAGTGCCACAGTTTGTAGTTTATGGAGGAAGCTAAGAGTACCCACTTTTTGTTAAAATTGTGACTACTTCTCTCTAGGGATTTCCTTCTTTGTGATACTCAATCCAAGGCCAGGAAGTGAAAGTCCTATTCAGACTGAGAAATCCTTTAGATTGAAACTTCTCCAGGTCCTAAGATCATGAAGACTGGCTGGGCTATATTCTCTAATAAATTACTTAATAAAAGGGAAATGTATAGCCACCATGCTAGAGAGGGGGTATGATTATTTACCCTCTCTTATTTAGGAAGCTACAGAAAGGTCTGGGGAAGAGTCACACAAAAGTCATTGGGTAGCCGTAGCCGGTGTGGCTCAGTTGTTAAAGTATCAGCCAGCACACCAAAGCATCGTGGGTTTCATTCCCAGTCACGGGCAGGTTGCAAGTTGATCCTGGCCCAGTCAGGGCATGTGCAGGCGACTGATCAATGTGTCTCTCACATTGATATTTCTCTCTCTCTCTCTCTCTCTCTCTCTCTCTCTCTCTCTCTCTCTCTCTCTCTCTCTCTCCCCCTCCCACCCTCCTCCTCCGATCCACTCTCTAAAAATCAATGAAAAAAATATATCCTCAGTTGAGGATTAACAAAATAAAATGAGGGAAGAAAAAAAGGTCAGTGGGTAAAAAATTCCACCCGATGATGAGGATACTGAACACTCGGTCTGAGAAGAGGTTCCTGGTGCTGATACTACAGATGTCCAGGGAGACAGGTCAGGGGTCATCCTGAGGGGATCTGGAGGGAAGAGAGGGGGTACAGCCCTCTCCTTACAGACTGTCACCTGAGCAAAGGTCCTCACCCTGCAGAGGTCCGAGTCCTCCTCTGGTGACCCTTACAGAGATCACTGTGGCCTGTGAGTGGCTGACATCTCTGAGGAAGGAGCCCACTCTCAGTCAGTCACCTCCTCTGTTTCTCCACAGAGCCAGTGGGGAAGCCCTCCCTCCGAGCCAGCAATGCCACAGTCACAGAGCATAAGGACGCCGTGGTCCTGACCTGCCTCACCAATGACACTGGGATCTCCATCCGGTGGCTCTTCGAGAACCAGAATCTCCTGCTCACGGACAGGATGAAGCTGTCCCAGGGCAACAGCACCCTCACCATAAACCCCGTCAGGAGGGAGGACGCTGGGGGTTATCAGTGTGAGGTCTTCAACCTGGTCAGTTCCAGCATAAGTGACCCCTTCAGGCTGGACGTACAATGTAAGTGACCCCTTGCCCCATCCTACGTCTCCCTGGGAGGATTGCTCCCAATGGTGTGATAAATGGACAAATGTCACAGGGGCAGAATGTCAATCAGAAGACTTTACAGTAAACAGAATGGCAAAGTGGTTAAGAGCTCAGTTTCCGACCCTGTGTCTGGCACTCACTGTGACCTTACACAGGGCTGTGTGGTGGGGTTTAAGTCTACAGCTCAGTGGCATTAAGTGCATTCACATGTTGTGCAATCATTATCACTATCCATTAGGAACTTTTTCATCTTACCACACTAACACTCTGTACCCATTAAACAATAGCTCCCCACCCCCCAACCCCAATCCCTGGAAACCACCATTCTACTTCTCTCTCTATGAATATGACTATTCTAGGTGTTTCATATAAGTGGAATCATATGATATTTGTCCTTTTGTGTCTGGTTATTTTCATTTAGCATAATGTCTTCAAGTTTCATCCATGTTGTAGCATATATCACAATTTCGTTGCTTTTTAAGGCTGAATAATATTCCATTGCACGTATCCATCACATTTATCATTCATTGTTTCTACCATTTGTCTGTTGTGAATAATGCTGCTAAGAACAAGGGTGTTCAAATCCCTGCTTTTCAATTCTTTTGAGTATATATCCAAAAGTAGAATTACTGGATCAAATAGTAATTCTTCATTCAAATTTTTTTGTTGTTGTTGTTAATCCACACCCTAGGATATTTTTCCATTGATTTTTTTAGAGAAAGTGAAAGTGAGGGGGAGAAACATCAATTCGAGAGAGAAAATCAATTGGTTGCCTTCCGCATGCATCCCAACCAGGACCAGAGATGGAGCCTGCAACTGAGATACATGCCCTTGACTGGAACTGAGCCGGAACCTTTCAGTCCACAGGTCATTGCTCTATCCACTGAGCAAACCGGCTAGGGCTGTTCAATTTTTTGATGAACTGCCATACCATTTTATGTGGCTGAACCATGTTATATTCCTGCCAGCAATGCACAGAAGTTCCCATTTTTCCCCATCCTTGTGAACACATTGTTTTCTAGGTGGTTACTATTTTGTTTTGTTTTATTTTGCTTTGTTTCAATAGTAGCTATCTCAGTGGATGTGAGGTGATATCTCATTGTACTTTAGATTTCTATTTCCTTAATGATTAGAGATGCTGAGCATTTCATATGCTCATTGTCCATTTGTTTATCTTCTTTGAAGAAATGTCTATTCAGTTCCTCTGGTCATTTTATAATTGGATTTTTTTGTTGTTGAGGTTTTTTGTTTGTTTGTTTGTTTTTTTAAATATATTTTATTGATTTTTTACAGAGAGGAAGGGAGAGGGATAGAGAGTTAGAAACATCGATGAGAGAGAAACATCGATCAGCTGCCTCTTGCACGCCCCCCACTGGGGATGTACCCACAACCAAGGTACATGCCCTTGACCGGAATCGAACCCGGGACCCTTCAGTCCGCAGGCCAACGCTCTATCCACTGAGCCAAACTGGTCAGGGCTGTTGTTGAGTTTTAATAGTTATTTATATATTTTGAATATTAATCCCTTTCAGATATATTATTTTTAAATATTTCCTCCCATTCTATGTGACTTTTCACTTTGTTGACAGTGTCCTTTGATACACAAACTTTTTAAAAATATATATTTTATTGATTTTTTTACAGAGAGGAAGGGAAAGGGATAGAGAGTTAGAAACATCAATGAGAGAGAAACATTGATCAGCTGCCTCCTGCACACCCCCTAGTGGGGATGTGCCCGCAACCAAGGTACATGCCCTTTACCAGAATGGAACCTGGGACCCCTTCAGTCCGCAGACCGACGCTTTATCCACTGAGCCAAACCGGTTAGGACTATACACAAACTTTTTTATTTTTGATAAAGTCCAATTTATCTGTTTTTCCTTTGTTGCTGTGCTTTTGGTTTCCTACCCAAGAAATCATTGCTAAACCTAATGTTAAAGCTTTACCCTATGTTCTCCTATAAGGATTTTTTAAAATACGTTTTTTTGATTTCGGCGAGGAAGGGAGAGGGAGAGATAGAAACATCAATGATGAGTGAGAATCATTGATCCGCGCCTCCTGCAGGCCCCTTACCAGGGATGGAGTCCACAACCTAGGCATGTTTCCTGACCAGGAATCAAACCATGACCTTCTGGTTCATGGGTCAACACTCAACCACTGAGCACACTGGCCAGGCATCCTATATAATAAAGATGTAATATGCAAATGATCGTTTTGCCCTGCAGGAGGGTGGGGCAGCCAGCTACAAGCGGGGAGCCTAGAGGTACAAGAGCGGGCAGGACAGCAAGCTATGAGGAGGAGGGGAGGAGCTTCAGGAGGGCAGGGCAGTGGACGGAGAACTACTGGAGGGCAGCAGCGAGCTACTGGCAGGCTACTGGCTCACAGATTCGTGCACAGGGCTAATAGTCTTCTAGTAATGCTTTATATTTAGATCTTTGATCCAACCGTGACCTCCTGGTTCATAGGTTGAAGCTCAACCACTGAGCACACCGGCTGGCTATATATTAATCTTTATGCTAGCACCACACTGTTTTTTATTACTGTGGCTTTGAAGTAAAGTTTGAAATCAGGAATATGAATCCTCCAATTTTGTTCTTCTTTTTCCAGATTGTTTTGGCCTTTTGAGGTCTCCTGAAATTCCATATGAATTTTAGGGTGGATTTTTCTATTTTTGCCAAAAAAAAATGTCATTAGGTTATTGATAGGGATTTCATTGAATCTGTATATCACTTTGAGCAGTATTGTCATCTTAACAACTTTTTTCCAATCCATGAACACAGAATGCCTTCCCATTTATTTATGTCTTTAAATTATTTGCAGCAATGATTTTTGTAGTTGTTCAGTGTATGTCTTTCACCTCCTTGGTTAACTTAATTCCTATGTATTTTATTCTTTTTTTTAAGATTTTCTTACATCTTTATTGTTGAGAGTATTTCAGATGTCCCCCCTTTTCTTCCCCATTGCCCCCCTCCACCCAGATCCCGCTCCGCCCAGGCTTTCATCACCCTATTGTCTATGTCCTGTGCCCCTCCCCACTTCCCTCGGAGATTCGCCAGTCTGTTCTGTTTCCAGGCTTCTAGATCTATTTTATTCATCAGTTTATTTTTTTCATTAGATTCCTTGTTCTTTTTTTTAAAAATATATATATATTTTTAAATATATTTTTTATTGATTAAGATATTACATATGTGTCCTTATCCCCACATTACCCCCTACCCCCCCCTCATGCCCTCACCCCTCCCCCCCATTGTCCATGTCCATTGGTTAGGCCTATATGCTTGTATATAAGTCCTTTGGTTGATCTTTCCCCCTTACCCCCACACTTCCCTACCCTCCCTCCAAGTCCCGACAGTCCAATCAATGCCTCTCCGTCTCTGGATCAGTCCTTGTTCATCAGCTTATGTTGTTCATCATATTCCACAAATGAGTGAGATCATGTGATATTTATCCGCTCTCCAGTTCCATCCATGCTGTGGCAAATGGCAAGAATTCCTTTTTCTTCTTCCTCTTCTTAAAGAATACCTTTCAGCATTTCATATAATGCTGGTTTGGTGGTGATGAACTCCTTTAGCTTTTTCTTATCCGTGAAGCTCTTTATCTGACCTTCTATTCTGAATGATAGCTTTGCTGGATAAAGTAATCTTGGTTGCAGGTTCTTGCTATTCATCACTTTGAATATTTCTTGCCACTCTCTTCTGGCCTGCATGGTTTCTGTTGAGAAATCAGCTGACAGTCGTATGGGTACTCCCTTGTAGGTAACTGACTGTCTTTCTCTTGCTGCTTTTAAGATTCTCTCTTTATCTTTTGCTCTTGGCATTTTAATTATGATGTGTCTTGGTGTGGTCCTCTTTGGATTCCTTTTGTTTGGGGTTCTCTGCGCTTCCTGGACTTGTAAGTCCATTTCTTTCACCAGGTAGGGGAAGTTTTCTGTCATTATTTCTTCAAAAAGGTTTTCAATATCTTGCCCTCTCTCTCCTTCTGGTACCCCTATAATTCTGATGTTGGTACGCTTGAAGTTGTCCCAGAGGTTCCTTACACTATCTTCATATTTTTGGAATCTCTTTTCTTTTTTCTTTTTTGGTTGGGTATTTTTTGTTTCTTTGTATTTCAAATCTTTGACTTGATTCTTGGGATCCTCTTGTCTGCTGCTGGATCTCTGTAAATTATTCTTTATTTCAGTCAGTGTATGCTTAATTTCTAGTTGGTCCTTTTTCATGTCCTCCATGGTCTCACTATACTTATTGAGGGATTCATTAAATTTATCGGCGGTTTCCATAAAATTCTTGAAAAACCTTATAAACATGGCCTTGAACTCTATATCCAATCGTTTGCTTTCCTCCATTTCTGCCATTTGTGACCTGTTTCTTTGTCTCCGCATTTTGGCAGCTTCCCTGTGTTGATAGAGTGGCCCTGCGCGCCAGGTGTCCTGTAGGGCCCAGTAGCTCAGCCTCCCCAGTTACCTGGGGTGGACACTCTTGGTGCACTCTTGGTGCCTTGGTTGTTGTAGAATCACTGGGAGGAATTGACCTCCTGGCCAATTGGCCGTGAGAATCAGCTGTGTCTAAAGTGGGAGAACTTCTGTGCTGAAGACACCCTTCTGGGGCAAGACTTGCTTCAGTGGGGCTTTGGTGCTCACTGAGTCTGCTCCCTGAGTATGTCCCTTATGGATCTGAGGAGTTGCAGTCTGGTACCCTCTGACCACTGGGTACAGTGGCTCCTGGATCTAAGGAGGTGCTAATTCAGCCTCTGCCTGAGGCCACACAGCAGGAGCCACGAAGAGGCTCAGCTGTGAAGCAATGCAAGCCACTGCGGGGCCTTGGGCCTTCTCTTGGAAGTTCCAGGTCTGCCTGGCTGGGCTGCAGTTAGGTACATTCACATGCAAAAGCCTCTGCCGCAGCCTGGGTGGGGCGGGGTCTCAGGGAATCAAAGGGCGGATCAGGGAGCTATGGCTGATTCTCCGCCCGGAGTCGCGG